AAAAAAAGACATAGATTTTTCACCCTTTTTTTTACTAGATCACCAAAATATAGGTTATTACCTCAGATTTACATGTTTTCCAAATATCGAATCAGATTGAATTGATGTTGTAAATAAGATAGAAACTGATATATTCGAGTCGGTGAAATATTACGAGTTGACATTACTAGTAAGGTGAATTATAATGAAATGTTTTTAGAAGTGCTTGCACACTATTGTAAGTACATTAATTTAATATATAAGTGCTTATATATTAAATTAATGTACTTACAATAGTGTGACTTTTACTGCTAAGCATATTTAGCATTGATTGATTCAGTTGGAATTCACACAGTTTAGTACACTGCTGAAGGTACAACGAAAGTAAGAGACAATAATAGATATTTTATCGATACGTTAATTTTTCTAATTTTAAACAAGCTAAATTCGTTTTTAATTCTTTTGAAAATAATGTGCATTACAAAAATGTGTTCCAAATGATTTTATTGCAATTAACCAATAAATCTTTTAGAATGTAATCGGCTGTTATAACCAAGTTTTTCTTTTTTCTAATCTTCTTTGACTGCAGATATCAGCGATAATCGGTGGATTTGTAGAAACATTTTTAAAGATTGGTATTTTTATACCAGATACTTGTATTAAATTTAATTGCTTAAATATTCAAATAATTTTTTTCACCACGTTTTAACACAGTCATTCTCTTCAGATTTTCTTGTTCATTTTCCTCGCTATTTCTGATTTCGTTGATGTTGTTAGCCTAGTAATTTTTAGTTTAAATATTCAATTAGGTCCGCTCCGTCATAGAAAGTTATCTTTCATAGCTTATTTTTGTTCCATTAGTGAATGTGTCTGCAGGATTGTCAGCTGACGACACATATTTGAAATCTACTTTAGTTCTCCTAATTTGTTCTAGATGATTCTGGATAAATCGATACTGTTGTTTCGTTTCATTTTACATCTAATTAAAGACGTAGGCTGAGTCGCTCGAGAGAATTTTTTCAACATTTGACATTTCCAGCTGATTTGGTACAAAATTTATTACTCGCATTCCAGTCAAAACTATCAGAAGTTATCGCTGATATTCCGAGTAGAAACAAAGGGACAATGACCCCCTTTTTTTGAAAGCCAGACATCTTTGTTTTATATGCTCATATCGTCTTACATTTACTCTAACAAAGAACCCAACACCAATGGGTTTTTCCTAAGGATGCTAATTCTTGTAATCATAAAACGGTACGAGGACCCTCCCAGTCGAAGAAGCGGAAAGTCCTAACCACTAATCCATTTTTTCAAATGTGTTTCATTGAGGTCGGTTGGATATAAGGTATCGGGCGTAATTTGTCTTTTTTGTTCATGTGTATTCATTAATTTGTTGTATCAATGTCATATTTGCAAGTTCGTTGTTGTATTAATAAATTTTCTCGTAATAAAAGGTTTAATTACCTAAGTTTGAGGTGCTATCAACTAAAGAGGCAGAAAGAACCCTCAGTTTTTGTCACGACTGAAGAAAATCGGCGACAGAAGTTCACTTCCTGGAATTATTCTTTTCATTAAATATGAGGGTTTTTGGATAATATTTACGAACGCTGGAACTTCTGCTAAATCTCGGATCTCAAACAAATGATTGCGACTCACGTATATTGGAAGCATCTGAAAACACATGAATATGGTGCAGATTTGTTTTCATTTTTGGAGTTTTTCGCCGTAATTCAGTGAATGCAGAATGCCAATCATTAAAAACTCTTTTTTATTCTTCAAGTTCTTTGCCTTCCAATATATCATTCTATTTGGAATTTTGCCACCAAAGATTTTGAAGTAGAATTTTGTTTGGTAGAATAACTGGTATAGTAAGTCCCTATGGATCAAAAATGGAAGCAATCCATTTTGCAATATTATTGATCGTTTTATTTGCTCTATTGGATTAAGTTTGGTAGTCTAACACTGACTTTAGCTGTTACCCTGTCCTAGTGGATCCCTAATAATATTATTACTTTTCTTCTTTAACTATCAGCAGTTGAAAGAGATTCGTTGAATTCATTGAAATTGGCTATGAATTTACCCATATTTATTGTTGCTTTTCTGTAAATTTCTTTCACTTATTTGTACACGTTTATTGCTTTTATAGCATTATCTATACACAAATTTCGTTTAACTTTTCATTGATGGTAAGCTTTTTCAATATCACAAAGGACCTGCAAAATTCATTAAACCGAATTGCAAAAAGATCCTGCACAGATCATTTAGCATTACTGGCCTGTAATATAAGAGATCGTTGAGCTCCCAGCAATTCTAATTTCCAAAACTGAACAACCTCAACGTTGTCATTTACTTTACTTGCAGACATTACTGTTACAGAACTAATCGCTAAACACGGTGCGGTCGAATTGATTTTTGTATCCTTCCAGCTATAAGACAGCCAATTGATGTGCTGATAAGTCGAAATCCACTCGTTAGCTTCTTAATCATTGCTGGTTAAATTCGAAAAAATAATCTGCTCTGATTAGTAGTTTTGATTTCATCCTTTTTTATGGAATTCTGTTCAATCGATTTCCTTATTTTTTAGCAATTCGTTCTCCTGGTGGTTAGATATATTATTTCTCACTTTAATGGATTTATATTTTCCATTTTTTAATCGAGTATTAAGCGACACTATTGTTGTTTGTTATTCTTTGACTCCCTCTTCAGTTATAAAACTTATTTTCGACATATCAGTCTTTTCAGCCTCAACTCCTTATATACTTCATTGATGATGAAGGATTATTGTGATCCTGCATTCAAAAAAAAAACCGTCACTACTGCTTGTTTATTACTTTTTGGGTTGATAACTGTCACATCTTTAAAAGAACCGCCTTTTTACTATTCTTTTAATTTATTAATGCAACAGTAATTGTTGAAGCTGTATTCTTCATTTTGTCAGTCACAATGTCCCAAATTATCATTTTGAGATCGTTTGCACATTGCAGAATTGTGTTGATCCTTACAACGAAAAGCATTACTTTGTGGATGCATTTTTTGTTGTCATGTTTTCATAAATATCGGAAACATAAATACACTTCTCAAGTTCTGACAAATTTTTAATCTACCGTTCTACTCATTGCAATCGTCATTCCAGTAGTTTTTTGTACAAAAGACGCATGGTTTTTTTTTTTTTTAACAGAACTTTTCGTTGCAGCAAACATATAGCTTTTTCAATTAAACACACAATGATGACAATTTTTGTATTGCAGGGAATGTTTTGATTACCTATAGTAAATCGAAAATTTGCATAAAATACAGGCTAGTCTAGAAGTTCGCTAAAGAATTTTCACAATTCCATTTTAGATAGTTAATGTGCCGAATTTCATTTGATGCACAAAATGAAGCAAGCTTTCTTTTAGCCTAAGCTTTCTTTTTTTGTTAAAATGCAACGAAATCATTTTTAAACAATGAGCACATATATACAATTCCATGCGATGATAGCGCCTCTACTTATTCGGTAAAAGATTGGATAACTTTTAATCTTAGTCATGATAGTCACGATATGCTAAGTTAGCATATACTGATGAATGTTTATATTTTTCTTTATCATGAAACTTTGCGTTTATTTGCGACAGAAAGTTTCCGAAAGTATTATTAATTAAAAAATTTTGTTGTTGAATTTTAGTAAAAACAGTAGGAATTAACATTACTAATTTCAAATTTTAATACTGATTAAGATTAGAGCAATTGAACATAAAGTCATAGCAGTAATCGGAAGGATATGGATTTTATCTAATTGGGAAATATTTTATCAGCCTTTCGCTCATTACGAATAGTAGACCATCAAACGATAGAAGGAAGTATTTTTAACATTTCTTAAAGGAATTTTTCCTTCTTAGAATTGGCTAAATTTGGTTGAAGTTTACAACATATGAAATTTTATTATTAGTATCAGCTAAGTTATGTTTGGCCAATTATTCGTATGTTCATGTTTTGGCCATCTTTCATGAAACATCCAGACTTTGACATTTATCTCTTAAACATCATTATGATCAGCAAGAGAAATTTCAATGTAATAAAACAAACATATATGCATAGAATATATTATTGATTTTATTTAGAAAGAAATTTTTAATGTTGTCAAATATTGTTTTCCAGCTTATCATATGAAGCAAATTTATATACCGGACTAGTTTGTTTATTGTTACGGAAGTATCACATGGTAATAATTGTAATCAAAATACTATCATGATTACTGATAACTTATCTAAATCATCGATTGGATGATTTTGTTGAGTTTGTCGAATTTACAGCAAACTATTAAGAAATTTCTAATTTTAAGAATATTTATTGTAATTCATATTAAAGTAATATTTCATATATGACAACTGAAAGTAGCATATCACATTTTTAACACTTAACTTTTCTATTATCTTACACTTATCACAAAATCTTCAAAATGATTTCTATAAAGTTTGTTTTACATTGTCTAATATTTGGCTTAAAATTTATGAACATAATGTGATCATGAAATTTGCCAATAAAACTTCCGTAAGTATTAGATTAATAGTTATTAGTGAGCTATCTATCTTCTTCCAGTACTTTTACGGTTTATAATTTTCAAAATGGTCAACATAATGTTGAATTCATGGTTACAGTTTGTTTTCAATCATTATTGATTAGATCAGGTAACTAGTTAGAAGATTATTCCACTTTTCATGTATTATTTTACAATATTATTGAAATTGATTACAGGTATATTAAATTTTATTGTAGACAAACTTTTCATATTTGCTATATAATTCTGAAAATAAAAAAAAAAAAAAGAAAAAAACGAAAGCCTACTATCAAATTTAATTAAGTTAGCTCATATAATTTGTATTAGACATGCTAAAATTTTGAACAATAATTTTCAAAATTATTAAGAAAATTGAAACTATGAATAGATGCTATTTTGCATTCTTTTTACCATTGAAAATATTTGTTTACGATAACCTTTTATCATTTTCATGACATTTCAATCAACAATTCATAAAGGAAGAAATAACGAAATATAATTATGAGCAAAATAGTTTAGCTATTGTAAAAGTGACAAAAAAAAAAGGAAGCAGAAAAGATGAGAGTCTACGCGGACAAATTTAGTTTTTTTTTTTAAATCCACTTTGAATTTTTATTAAAAACGGATTTGCAATTTTTTTTTTGTTTTTTACCACATCATCTTGTTGCAAATTTTAAAAATTGATTTCAAATTGAGGCTTTGAAGTTTTCAATTTTCAATAAGATATTAGTGAAGTGGCATTTAATGACGTGATATTTAATGCTTCAAGCCATATTTTACACTTTTATTGTGATTTGCAAATATTTCATTAATAATTAACAAATTTGGAAATTAAATGGTTCTAAAAGTAAAGCAAATTTTTGAGGATAGATGTTAATGTGATTTTTGGAAGAAATCATTAATTTGCAAGTAAATTGAAATGTATTGAAAAATAAAATTTTAAAAAAATGGAAATTCTGGTAGTATATAAGGTTTAGCATTAAAAATTGTTTAAATTTCAAATTCTTTTCCAGTTTTGCATGTGAAAACATTTCCTGAATGATTTGAATGTTATAAATATTTGAACTTTTTACATAATTGCTTAAAATAAAACTTTCATTAATTTCCCATTTAATGTTAATAAAATTATCCTTCAATGTTATTACTACTAATTGTAAATGCCTACTAGCTTATATAATAAAAGTCATCCTTGTTTCCTCTTCTATCTTCTTTAATAATAATATAGATAATTTGTAACATTTAGCATTTTCATTACAACGAATGAATAATGTGATTTGTTAATCAATCAAGTAATGGTACAATTTTATCATTTGAAGAAAAAAATGTCCTAAAAATAATTTTAATAAAAAATTTCCAAAATATTTTATTTTTATGAAATTTCAAAAAAATTTCATAATTTAGCAAAAATAAATTCAATTAATTAAATGACGTAAACCGATTATGATGTAATATCATCATGAATTGTGATGAAAATGACGCATAAAAACGTAGAAATGTAAAAACCGCCATAATTTACCACTACGTTGATTAATTTTATTTCCTTCCATTTTTGTTTTTTCTTAATAGAATTGACGGAAATGTACACATTCACACGTGCACAAGCGTACGTACACGTACACATATACACAAATATATATATATATATATATATATGATCAATAGGTAAAAAATAAGTTTACCTCTTCTATTTGTATTTATTTTTTCGATATATATTTGATAGAAAGATACATACGTACACACACACACACACACACACACACATACACACACACAGACACACACACACACACAGACACACACACACACACACACACACACAC